CGGCACGCACTACTCCAACTCGGCGGGCGTGCTGCACTACCTGGTGCGCGTGGAGCCATTCACGTCGCTGCACGTGGAGCTGCAGTCGGGGCGCTTCGACGTGGCCGACCGGCAGTTCCACTCGCTGCCCGCCACCTGGCGCCTGCTCATGGACAACCCCAACGACGTCAAGGAGCTCACGCCCGAGTTCTTCTGCTTCCCGGAGTTCCTCCGGAACCAAAACAAGTGAGCGCGCGCCGTCAGCACCGGGCCTCTTTTTTCTTTCTTCAATTTTTGGGGTGTTCACGCGTTTTGCATGTTACAAATTTAATTACATTGGGGTTGGTTACAGTGCCGGACTGGCCCTGAAGACTAGGACTTTGTATTGTGAAAATATCAAAATTAAAATTCATTTATAAAAAGGGTATTTATGATACTGAATTCATAATCAATTAGAGTGTGTCGTAATAATAAATTTTAAGGGAATATAAGGCTATCTTTGGAAATCTCGATTTATTCCTGCTAGGAAATTTATAAAAGTTTACTGAACCTGATTAACAATGTGCTAGGTCTTAAATATTTCTCTCTTGGTGTTTACTTGTATATGTTAAAAACATACTGATTATCTATAAACTATAAATGTTCGATTACGGGGTGACTTGTGGATTATGAATTTGAAATGGAAAACCTCGCACTTTACGTAATTTTTTCCTTCATCCTCATTTTACTTTAGGAAATTTTGTAAGCGGTAATTTAATAACGCCTATTGTCTTTATTCATGATTTACTGTCAGGAAAATTGCACTGTCGTGAGGGTACAACTTACAAAAGAAAATTCTTATACAGCACAAGATTAAAACTTGAGTGGGCATAAATCTACCTTTTTTGTTTGTTTGATGTTTGACTTTCGGTAGTATAATAAAAATACCCCAATAAGATTAGTTTTGTGACTGTCGAAATTTTATAGATTATAGTATCTTTTAATTATATACAGTCAAATTGGATACTATAATTCATAAAAAACACTTCATTCTAGCACTTAGTTTTGATTACAATTTCATTTTCATATTGAGAATCCATGAACTGATAAGAAATTTTCCGCAGTTAGCTCTCATTAGCACATTTTCCCTGATTGGTTGTAACAAAACGTCTTCTCACATCGGATTATTTCCTTTGCAATAACCCGATTAACGCTGTGCCTCGGCGCAGGTTCGACCTGGGCCTGCTGCAAGGCACGAAGGAGCGCGTGGACGACGTGGAGCTCCCGCGCTGGGCGCACTCCGCAGAGGACTTCA